GGAAACTACAGACCCGCCGGCCAAATCTGGCTCACTCCCTGTGTTGGTAAACAAAGTTTTATCAGAGCACAGGTGTGCTCCTTATTTGTATATTGTATACGGCTGCTTTTGTGCCACATCTGTGTGGCTCACAAGCCTAAAGTATTTACCAAACAGCCCTGTACAGAAAAAGTTTGCTGACTCCAGAATATCCCGTTCCTGTCAGGTTTAACATTCTTTGTTTTAGTTTTGAGATCCTTGGGACAACATTTTTATTTTTCCCATCAAATTACTGCTTAGCAGATCACCAGGAAATTTGACTCGAAGAGGGGAAACTAATAAACATTGTTAATTGTTAGACACCAGTAGCCCTCACATTTTGTTGTTAGTGCTGTGGTAACAAACAACCCGGAGAGCCCAGTATCTTTTAACAGTTGCATTCAATTGATGGGCCTCGGCTCTGGCTCACTCGTCTGTGTCATTCTGGGATCCTGGCTGAAGGAGCAATACCTCATTGGTGACAGTCATGGACCCCCAGTTTGGGGTGTGGAGAAGAGGAAACTTTATTTAGTACAAAACAGCCGAATTGTGATACAGCACAGGCTGTGAAAACAGCACAGCTATGGGGCAGCCCTGGCGCTGGGCCCCTCTTTGGCTAGACCGTTCCGCTCTGCTCTGCTTTTCTCTTTGCTGGTCTGCTTGGCGCTGCTCTAGTCTGCTCTGGTGAGACATCTCTGTTTCAGCTTGGCCCGGGGAACGCAGTCTTCAGTCTGGTGGAAAAGGAAAGTGCGCTCTCGGGGCCAGAGGAGAGCCCAGAGCTGGCTGTGTCAGAAGAAGTACCTGCCCCTGGTCCCTGATTGGTATGTCCTCATGCAGATGAGGGCTGCAAATCAATACAGTTTGACTGGCCTAAAAGGCACTGTCTTAATTGGTCAGCTACTCTGGTTGGTTGGAGCTATGTGTCTCTAATCAGATGGGGAAAGCCTTAGTCTTAGTGGTTAAAATAGGATTCCAGGAGTAAGGGCAGGCTCAGAGGACAGGAACGTTGTGCAGGGGTCAATGCAGAGGTAGGTAGTTCAGTGCAGGCCTCTTCTCCCCAAAGTAAGGTTTGTGCGGGAGGCCCCTGTGTAGAAAGGGTTGCTGGGCTCTTTGTTTTGTTTTTTCAGTTTGAGCCTACTCATCTACCAGGAGCCCTTCTTAGTAGATGTCTTTTTTCTCAGCATTCACACTGTCTGGGAAGAAGAGCAATGGACAAACCACGTGCCAGCTTTAAGACTTGTGCCCCAGAGTGGCATATATCACTTCTGCTCATTTCTTTGGTCAGCTTTATGTGATTCCGGGAAGTGTAATCCTTTTGCAGGAGGTCCTGCAAATCGCCTGGTACCTCCTGTGGGTGGATAGTCCTTCCACCTGGAGGGCAGTGAATCACTGGGGACGAGATCTAACAGCTTCCTTGAAAGGTTTGCTGGTGGGAGCAGACTGAAACTGATGTTTGCTAATTTTTATAAACTTTGTATAACTCATGAATAACTAGGAATTGGTCCTTTGAGCTTTAGGAATATATCCTAATTCTCTCAACTTGCTTATTTAATGAATGTACAGTGTAAGACTATAATGTGTCTGGGTTTCTTTTTCATAGTCTTGTGATGTCTTTAACTTAGATTTCTCATTCTTAAGCCATCTTCTCCAAGGTTCCACATCTCACTGAGTGACATACGTCAGGTTGCCTAAGTCGGAAACCTGGGTGGAGTTCTTAACTTTCTCCTTCACCATGAATACTTACAACTGGCCAGTCAGTTATTGAATCTGTTTCCTTTGTGGCTCTTGATTCTGTCCTCTTCTCTTCATCTTTGCTGTTACCCTTCTGGTCCAGTCATCTCTCCTCATTGCAACAGCTTCCGAACTAGCCTTTCTACCTCTTGACTTGCTTCTCTGTAATCCATTTCCCGCACAGTCACCAAAGCGATTTTCTAAAATGCACACTGATTGTGTTAGTCCCCTACATTCAAACCTTAAAGCTCACATTTTCTAACATGGCCTTTCACCTTTTTTTCCTGTTAATTCCCAAGTTTATCCTGTTATGCTTAGTTTAATTTCATGGCTATAAGAATATAATCTTCTAGAAAGTTTTCTTCTAGAGCAAATTTTTTGAACTGACGTGGTATTTGGTAGATGTATTTCATTCCTAGACACTCAGACACTTGATGAAACATACTGTGCAAAGCTGACCGTGTGCGGCATTGACCGTGGTCCAACAACAGGATGCCCGCTCTGGATGTTAAGTGGACTGTTACTTCTTGCCTTTGGAAATGCTCTAGGAATTTAAATGTTTAAGGCCAAAATCTCTTCATTATTTAAAATTCATTGACACAAACTTTCTTTGATCAATCAACTGCTATCTTTTTTCTTTTTCTAGCCTAGTTATATGGAATTTCTAATAAACTGAATCAAATGTCTCTCAACTTTGAAGCTTTGCAGTTGTAAACACAATTTTCTGTTATTATAAACTAATTTTAAAAAGTAAGCTCGATTTTAAAAGGCAAGTTTAAAAAAAAGTGTACATCTTGTATAAACATTTAAAAAGGAGTCAGGCATATTGACACGTCCTTAAGCATGAGGACTGTATAGAGTAAGAGTGATAAGACAGTTACATGGGGATTTGAACTGTCTGTGTTAGTATTTCTGTAACATTTTAAAAAAGACTTTATTTATTTATTTTTAGAGAGAGGAAAGGAGAGGGAGAGAGAGAGGGAGAGAAAAATACCAGTGTGGGTTGTCTCTCACACACCCCTTACTGGGGACCAGTCTGCAACCCAGGCATATGGCCTGACTGGGAATCAAACTGGTGACCTCTCCCTTTGGTTCTCAGGCTGATGCTGAATCCACTGAGCCACACCAGCCAGAGCTCTTGACCTTGTTTATGTCCTCTTGCTGAGTCCTTCTGATTCATGTATTTGTGGACTTTCTCCTCTTATTTGTTGGTCTTTAGTTCTTTATTTTAGTCTTTTCCTCTCTCGTTGCCCCTCCTTTCTTTCTCTTGTTCTTTTCTTTTAGCTGCCATTTTACTTTGCCCTCTGGGTCATTCTAGAGCTTGCTTTGTTTGAATTCTTGCCTTGAGAAACCTTTCAACTGCTTTGCGTACTCTTTTCTCTCCTTTGTTCCGTACGGTTGGAGAGAATGGGCTGAAACATTCTGTTCATTCCTCATCATTTACTTAACCAGTATTTGAAACCTCCTGGAGCAAGACACTGTGCCAGGTCCTGGGCTACCTCAGTAAAGAAAACCCCAGGTTGTCAGCTGTGGGGACAGAGCGGCTGAGCGTTACTCTCTCACACACATGCATTCATTCACTCAGCAAGTATTTCAGACTGGAATACAGGGCTTGGGAAAAACAGAAATTCTTTCTCTTGTGGACCACACATTTCCGTAAGACTTACGTTAAGTAAAAGATTGTACAAACCAATGTTAAATGATAGCTGTGTTGAGTCCTATGAAGGGGGACTCCATAGCGCTGTGAGAATACATAATTAGAGGGATTTGTTCTCACCAGTAGAGCTGGGGCAGCCTCCTTGAGGAAGTGAAAGGTGAACTGAGATCTTAAGGCACAAGGATTAAGTAAGTGAAGGCAGCAGGAAAGAGGGATGAGTCTCATGCTGAGAGGGGGCGGGGAGTATTTGAGGAAGAGCAAGCTTATGGAGCAGGATGGAGTGAAGCTGATGAGGCTGCAAGGACAGGCTGGGCCAAACCTGGCAGGGTTTGGTGGGCCCTGTTAAGGACTTTGGTCCTTATTCTATGAGCAATGGAATGGATCCAACTGAAGTGCTGTAAGCAAGGGCAAGGGAAAGACAAGTGTAAAGCAAATAGTTTTATTTTTAAAACCTCCACAGTCTGAATACTGTGGAGAATAAGTGGAGTTTAGCATAGGTGTAAGTGAGGGGAAGGATGGGGGAGGACCAGTGAAGAGGCTGTTGAAGTAGTCTAGAAGAGAGGGGAAGGTGGGGTTAGCAAGGATTTTAAGTTTCCAAACCTACCCTCACTTCGTATTAAATGTATTTATATAACTCCAGAATTGTTTTTGAACGTTGACTCAACAGATGTGATAAAACTTAAGTTCATTCAGATGAGAAATGGATGATTTAAATAAAAAGGGGTTATGAGCCCTGGCTGGTATAACTCAGTGGATTGAGCATGGGCCTGTGAACCAAAGGGTCGTGGTTTGATTCCCAGTCAGGGCACATGCCTGGGTTGCAGGCCGGGTTCCTGGTTTGGGGAATGCGAGAGGCAACTACACACTGATGTTTCTCTCTCTCTCTTTCTCCTTCCCTTCCCCTCTCTAAAAATAAATAAATAAAATATTTTTTAAAAAAGGGGTTATGATAGAACTATACATAATCTAAGATAAGAATGACAACTGAGCTCAGGTTTAAAACTTAGCTCTGAGCTGAAGGAATACTATAGATCATCTGATTGTTTACCCAAAAGAAGCATCTATTTGAGTAGGGAATATAATCTCTTCCTTATAAACATTTATACTTTGCTATAGAATTGGTATTAAACAACCTGGAGTGGTCCAGATTATAAAAAGCCAAGACTTCCGTTCTTGTGATCACCGCATTAATCCATTTTTGGCCATAGGTTACACTGATATTTCAAAGAGTACAAATTTCTGGAAGTTGCAGAGCTGAACGACATAAATTCATTTCTTACTAGACCTCTTGCTACAGAGGGAAAGCGTGTGATGGGAGAGGACATAAGAGATAGAGACCAGGGAAGAAGACTATAATGCAGCCTGTGGTAAACCCTTAATTTATTTCCTTGACGTCCTTCCCTTTCGACTTCGCAGATACTTTTTTCTTGCCTGCTTCTCCAGTAGCCATTTACTTTGTTTTCATAAATACTTACTCACAGAAGTCATCTTTCTTGCCTTGCAAGCAAGATGCATAGTTAGGGATAAAGAATGCCGTGCTTAGAAGTGGCAGCCTTATTTCTCAGCTGCTTACATTCCAGCCCCTAAAATATACTTATAAAATCAAGGACCCAGAATTACTTCTAGTCGTTTTAATGAAGTTATCCAGAGTTTCCAGGGACTCTCCTGTGAGTTCTCTGGCCCTGAGGTTTATTCTCCATGCATTCCCTCCCTAGCCCTGTACTTGGCTGGTGGCTTCAGCTTTGCCTGCCTAGTTTCCTGGTAAGATGTTAGACCCAAGGCCCAGGAGGGTCCTAGAAGAGCCAGAGAGAACAGTAAAATAGGGGACAGAAAGTCAGGTAAGTCCAGATTGTTGGCCCCCAAACATCAGCTCTTGAAATAATGGCTTCAATCCATTTTTGATAGTAGGTCACGTTGGTGTAGACTCCGGGAAGAGATTCACCACATCGGAATCCCCAGCTCACCAGTCCTATCACGGTCCATGAACCATCAATATAACATGACAGAGGCCCTCCAGAATCCCCCTAAGGAAGAGATAAAGGTCATGAGCATAGTGAAAAAGACCATGGATATCAGAGCCCATTACAAGTGGTGGAGAGAGTGCCCTAGAATGGGATGGGGGAGCCTGTGGAGCTACAGGACTCTAGAGGGAGCTGGACTTTCCACTGTACTAGGGGGAGATTATGGGAACTACAGAATCATAGAATTTGAAATTGGCAGAGATCTTAGCTAAATCTGTATATCCGTAGTTTCAAAATACTCATTTGTGGTAAGAGAAATTAACGTGATGTGTTTTTTTCACTAAAGTTATTCAATTGAATGAAATGCCCTTAATTTTATGTTCTTTGCTTCTTATAGCCTTTTTTAGTGTTCAAATAATCTGTTATATAAATGATGAGTAGTTGGTGGTGTGTCTTTCATTCTTATTTTTTCCTTTTTGTAACAGCCTTATTGATATAATTCACATGCATTACAATTCATGCATTCAAAGGGTACCAGTTGTTTAGTACATTCACAATGTTGTTTAGCCATCCCCACATTGCATTTTAGAACACTCATCACCTCCAGTGGAAACCGCATGCGCATTAGCAGTCACCCTCATTTCCTCCCACCACCCCAGTCCTAGGCCAACCAATGGTCTACCTTCTGCCTTATGAATTTGTATAATCTGGACATTTAGTATGGATGGAATAATATATGTGATCTTTTGTGTCAGGCTTCTCATTAAGCATACTCTTTTCAAGGTGCATCTATGTTGCAGTATGTATTACTACCCCATTTCTTTTAATGGCTGAATAACATACCATTATGTGGGCATACCAGATTTTGTTTATCTAGTCATCAGTTGGTGGACATTTTGGGTTGTTTCACTTTTTGGCTATTATGAATAAAGCTGTTATGAACTTTTTGTGCCCAAGTTTTTATATAGACATATGTTGTTATTTCTTTAGTGCGATAACTAGGAGTGGAATTCCTGGGTCCTATGGTAAACTCTATATTTAACCTTTTGAGGAACTAACAGACAATTTTCCAAAGCAGCTGCACCACTTTACATGGCCACTAGGTGTTTGAAAATTCCAATTTTCCCACATCCTTGCCAACTCTTGTCATTATCTATGTTGATTGTAGCCATCCTACTGAATGTGAAGCCATATCTCATTGTTTGATATGCAAACAAATATACAGATAGGAAAACTTGGTAGAGATACAGAAAAGTATGTGTGTGTGTGTGAGAGAGAGAGAAAGAGAAGAAATAAAATTGATCGTACTAGAAATGAAAAATTTCACTAGATGAACTTAACAGAAAAATAGATGACAGGAGAAAGAGATAATGATCTTTAAAGAGAATATGGATTAATTTCGAGTATCTTGAAGAAGAGAAAAAGATAAAAGTAAAATGAACACATTCAGACCTGTGTGAAAATATAAAAAAGTGTAACTTACACATTTGTGGTTTTAATGAGAAGAGGAAAATGGAGAAATGAGGCAGAATAATATTTGAAGAAATAATGAATTTAAAAATCTCAAGTTTTGATGAAAGATAAAAGGATAGATTAAAATCTAAAAGCCAGAAACTCAACAAATCCCAAATAGAATAAATACAAAGAAAATCATCCCTAGCACATCACAGTCAAACTTCTGACAGTCAAATATGAAGGAAAATTGATAGCAGCCAAACCAAAACAACTTGTCATACTCAATGGAGGATGACACAAATGATGGCTGTTTTTACATCAGACAATTATGGTCAGGAGACAGTGGGATGCCATCTTTTATATGTAGAATGAAATGTTATTACTTGAAAAAATAAAAGAGTTGGCAATTCTACATCAGCCTCCTAATATATTTAGAAAAATTTAGGAGTTTGTAAATACCCAGTGACCAATGGTTGGTTTATCACTGCTCTAGATCCGCGGTTGAAGAGATTAAATTCATAGCTAAAAGTTAAGTGACTTGTCTAGGGTAACACGAGAATCATTGTCAGAACCCTTGTATCCTGATTTCCTAATCCACTGTTTATACATAGGAATACCTGGATTCCCATTAAGAACTTGTGTTAAAGAATTTCAACAGCAAACCTAACCTTGCAGGTATCCAGCTTTTTATGAACATCGCCAGCACACAGCATGTCTTTCTTAACTATCGGCTCTAAGTTTGGCAATAATAAGCTGATTGAGCCGTACATAGATTCACAAGTTTGGCGGTCGATGATGGGTACTTCTACTTCCTGGAGGGTGGGAGAATAATCAGTATCTGTAGAGATAGAGAGAAATGAAAGGAAAAGCAATCTGGAAAGGTACATAGGCAGCATTCAGTCACGACGTGCAAAATTTCTGAATAAAATCTCAAAGCAGAATATGCTCACTTTCTAACTGTATGTGGTAGTGGAAGAATGTTTTTGGTACACTGAAATCTAAAACAATGGACAATTCAAAATTATTTGTTTGTCTGAGGTTTTTAAAATGCGCCAATGTGGAGTATTCCTGGCATTGCAAATAAAGAGAAATTCAGATATGTTGTGATTAAGAAAAGATGTGAGTATTCCAAAACTTTTTCCGTTACTACTTCTCTGCTCCCAGATCATTTTCTGTTTTGTCTTTACTCCATCTTGGGAAACAGGTGACACATTCGCTTTAAAAATGTTAAGGAAACACTACACTCCTCCAAACATTAAGTCAGGTTTGTTAACTTCTGTTTCAGAGAGGTAATTATGTGTTTAAATTGTTAGTATCTGCTCTTGCAGTTACAGCTAGACTCTATAGTGATGATCTAAGAGTAAATAAACATAAAAATGTCAAAAAATACATTTCCTTTGGAGATGTACAGATAATACCAATAGGTTGATCTGGTTCTGTCAAAAAATATTTGCCTTAGTAATGCTGTATCCCAAATCTGAACCATCTGAAATGGGTGGGTACAAGAGAGTCCCATAAAACATCCCTTTTCTCTACCCAGTCTTACCTTCATTTTCGTTAACTTTTCCCCATCCAGTCACCCAGCAAGAGCCAGGAGTATTCAGTTGCTTTGTGATATTGGGCAGGCAAATGGGCAGGATGGAAGAAGTGAAGGTAACTTTATTGACCAGCTTCAATAAGGCGATGTCTGCGGTTGTATCGTAGGATTTGGGATGGAAAATGATTTTGGACACATGATGCTTTGTAACGTAATTTGCAGAGCTTACTTTGAGTGATCCCAGTGACACAGTATAAAACCAAGGCATCCAGTTCCTAAGGGGAAGGGAAAGCAGAGCATTATCTGTTACAGTTGGGTCAGAACAAGCTGCTTGGGGGTAGCAAGCGGTAAGACTGTAAGAAAGGCACGTACTACACTGGGAATTAACCAGGCTGCTTCCAGCTTGGACTAGGGTTGGTTTGTCTGCCTTTTCTCCTTCCTGCCTTTCCTCACTGTTTCTGTGATATCCTCTTACATGCTTATGGCCAGCCTTTTTTTGGTCCTGTTCTCTCTTGTTCACCTCTCCCATTCTCCATGGTTTCAGCCATTGCCTATATGCTTAATAGTCATTGGTCTTTTTTATTGCCAGTTTTGATTTCTGAATGCTAGAGCTTTATTTCTAAATAACAATGCAAAATGAAGTATAATCACCAAAGTTTTTTATATATATACTACTTACTTCTTTTTATTTTTTACTTATTCTTTAAAAAAGATTTTATTTCTTTAGAGGGGAAGGGAAGGAGAGAGGGAGAGAAATATCAATGTGTGGTTGCCTCTCCTGTGTCCCCTGCTGGGAACTGGCCTGCAACCCAGGCATGTGCCCTGACTGGGAATCGAACCCCGATCGTTTGGTTCATAGGCTGGCGCTCAATCCACTGAGCTACACCAGCCAGGGCCCAACCTTGGCAGTTTTTAAAGTCATTTTCCTGGGATTCCCTTTTATGTTGTATCCCCCTTTTTTCTGGATCCCATGTTTCCCTGTTTTTCCCTCTTTATTTTGTTGAAGCACATTTTCCTGTGGCTTCCTGAGAAAATGTGCATGAGAGGCAATATTTTTGCTATTTTGTATATTTGATAATATCTTATTTCTATCCCACACTTAAGCGATAGTTTGTATACAGGTAAAATTCTACGTTGGAAATAATCTTCTCTTAGTATTTTAAAGTTATTTCTCTATATTTGGGGGGGGGCTTTCAGTGCTATTACTGAAAAATCCCACCATTTTTGTTTCTGTATATGTTAGTTATCTATTGTTGAATAACAAGTTACCATGCAAGCTTAAAGGCTTAAAACATACACTTATCTCCCGGTCTCTGGGAGCCAGGAATCAGGCGTGACTTAGCTGGGCGCCTCTGGCTGAAGGTCTTCCATGAGACTGCAGTCAGGTAGGCTGCAGTCATCCGAGCTTTTGCTCAGGGAGGATGTTTCTCAGCTCTTTTATGTTGGTGGACTTTGTGTCTTCACTAGCTATGGCCAAGAACATTAGCTTTCCACAGGCTTCTTCCTAGACTGCTCACCATATGGCACCTTGCTTTTGTTAGCATTTCTGAGAAAAAGCTCAGGTTGTGAGTTTACGCCCCCCCCAAAAAAAGCTTAAGACCGATCTCCCTGACTGGTGTTGAGGAATTAATTTGGCAAAAAGAAGTTTCTAACACAGTGCCTATTTTCATGATTTCTTTCTTTTTCTACCTCTGTGTCCTGTCCCTAGTCCAAGGTGACTAGGGTTTCCGCTTACCCATCTTACCACTTTCATTCGTCTGTGGGTCCATTCATGAAATCATTCAAATATTGCCTGAGACCCTCCCTGTGTTGTAGCCATCGGCTAGAACTCACATTTGTATGCAGTGTGCTGCAGTCAGGATCCATCTGTCACTGATGAGGCAACCTCCACAGACCGGAGTCAGGCCAAAGTGCAGGCCGACCTGCCAAGGCCAGCGCCCCTTAGCAGCATCCCGCCCACCCATGATGCGGCCTGAGGATGCAAGTTGTCCACACACTAGAGAAAGAAGAGAGAGGGAAATGGGAGTCTGAGGGTCCCATTGTCCCCATTTTCTTATCATCCCCCAAATCCCATTTCTAGGACCTGCCTCCTGCCTAGCTCCACACGCCATCCTATTCCAGTTCCAAACCCAGCAGTTTTGGGCCCAAATGGAGACCACTCACCTGGCTGTGGATCTTTCTCTTTGGAAGAAGAGCATGTGCAAGACCCTAAGACAAGACACACCGTATCATTAATATATAATAACACAATATCTAAATTCAGTGAACAGAGAGGCTTTCCACACATTTAAATCTCTCAAGTTGGTATTAAAGGCAAAATTTTTATAACTGTTTACCCATTAGTGGGAAATCTTGGTAATTATTACATACCTACCTGCCTTCTTTAGAGTATACATAGAATATAATTTAATTTTTACTTGGTGAATCAAGGTTGTCAACAGTAATATCAAGATGTTTGGTTGTAAATACAATGATGCCTTCTGATGCTGTCAAGGTTTATAAGTTGTTTATTTTTGTCCTGTTTTCTTTAACTGAATTGGCATTTTGCAATATTTGTGTATCTTTCCTCTTTGCCACCTGTTATCTTTTGGCTACTCTCAGCCTACCCTGCTTTTGAATCACCAGTGGCCAGAAAAATAAACCAGCAAGCTTATGCCTGAAATCGCTGAATAGTGTTTGCACTTCCCATTCCCTCTGCTGGAAATTCTTTTCCTAGACCCTCTTAGCCAAATCACTCATCTGCTTCAAGCCTTTGCTCAAATGACTCTGTCTTAACGAACCCTTCCTTGCCTGCCCTTTAAAATTACAACACTCCTCTGTCCCTGCACTCCAGAGCCCCGTTCCTGTCAGTATGTATTACTTCCTAACGAGCTAGGTAACGTACATATTCAAATGTGCATTGATTATAAGCCCCATGAAGGCAGGAATCTCTGTTTTGTTTACTACTGTATGTAAGATACTTGGAAAGGTGACTGGCATATAGTATCCTCAGGATTTTCTTGGGGCACATTGTTATAAGTCAAATCACCTGGGCAGAGTGTGATCTTATTATAAACAGTAACTTGTTGAGCCAAAAAAAAAAAAACCCTCTCCTCCCCTCCCCAGCCCACCTGGAGGCTCACCCAGCAAAAGGGACAGCAGGCAGACACAGCCAACATGGCCCATGCCCCTGTATTCAGAATGAGCACTTCTGCTTCCTGGACGCAGGCTCCCAGGCAGGCGCCAGAAGAGGGGCAGGACCACCTCTTCCTGGACGGCTTTACCTTCCTCTGCTTCGCCCCTTTCTCCCCTTTGATTTTCACTTGGGGCCGAGCCACCAGACTTTAAAGTGCAGCGGCAGGACCCAGGGGGAGAAGCTGGGGCTTGAGGTGCCCCTGGCCGTGTAGCCAGGTGGGGGGCGGCGCCTGCTCGGTGGGGGAGGGGTGGCTGCAGTAGCGCCCTCCGCAGACAGGTTAGAGGGCATGGCTGGGAAGAAAGGGACCCTTTTCTCTAGCAAGGAAGCGGAAGATGGGCAGAAGTGTCTTCAAAAGCAAGAAATGGAAACGAGGAAAGTAACCCAGCATCTGGCTAATTTTTCCTTTTTTTTTCCTTCCATTTTCATTACGGTTATTAGCCGGAGAATGTACTGCACATCAGATTATCTAGAAAATAGACTTTAGTGAAGAGATATTTGTGTGCAAGAAGTTTATTGGGTAGTGAATCAGGATCAACACCAAGATGGGCTGGAAGTAGGATTAGGCAGAGGGAAAGTCACACTAATGCAGTTGTGATGGGGGCCTCAAGGCACCCCGCAAGTTTCTCTGAAGCTGGGATGGCCTTCAAAGGTGTCCTGAACGGGGTCAAGAAGGCCGGGCACTTGGACTTCTGCATGATCAGATGTAGGCCGCCTCCAAGAATGGGGCATTACCTTGGTGAGGAGGCTCTGTCGGCAGTTCTTGGGATGGAATTTCACTGTGAACTGCCAGCCCCCGACACTCCTGGTTGCTAGGAGAATGGATGTTTGAGTCCGGAAGGTGGGTCTGGGTGGTGCCACGCGGCGCTGGCCACAGTATTCTACTCCGTGCCTTTTATGTTTTCTGTACCCATTGTTTGTAGGATAATGGGTCTGTAGAGGCAAAATTCAGTGAACTTTTAAAGCATATTATTAGCATATTATTGTTCTCATGTAGATTAAAATATTGGGAGTTATGAAAGATACGCATGAATAATTAAAAAATAATAGAAGCCCAGAAAGTGTAACTGTTTTGGTAAGGTTTTTTTTTTCTATTACAAGCAATAGACACTCACTTAATCCAGCTTAATCAAAGAGAGGATTATTTTAAGAATACTGTTAAGGGCTGAGATGCGTCTCCCCCAAAATTCGTATGTTGAAGTCCTAACCTCAGAATGTGACCATATTTTGAGGTTGTCTTTAAAGAGGCGATTAAAGTAAAATAAGGTCATTAGGGTGGGCCTTAATCTGACATCCATGTTGTCCTTATAAGAGGAGGAAATTTGGATGTAAACTCATACACAGGCAAAAATGGGCTGTCCACAGACTAAGGGGGGCTGGCATATCTTCCCACATGTTTCTCGGGAGGAACTAGCCCTCCTGACACCCTCTCAGACCTCGCACCTCTAGGACTGTGAGGAAATACATTTTGCTGTTTGAGCAGCCCGTCTATGGTACTCTGGCATCCCCTGGAAAGAAATGCAGGTTTCTGTGAACAATAAGGAGAGCAGAGTAACAAGGACATCTGGAGCTATCCTAGGAAGACCTGATGACCCAGTAGGAGACCAGAGCAGTGAGGACAAAGGTCTGTGTCGTCTCAGGAGTGAGTGCCCTCACGCCTGAAGCAGGGATGTGAGGGTGCAGGAGGGTCAGCGACGTGGCAAAGACTGGGGGGGCAGGTGCCATCTCCGCACAGTGAGGGGTTTACCTCTTTGAATACATCTTTCAGACTTGAGAAGTGAACACTTGAAAAAATACTTTTTCCATTTACCTTTTTAATTGTTGACATTATTGCAGATGTCCCCCAATTCCTCACCTGGCCTTTGCCTTCCTCCAGGCAGTTCCCCCCCATACCACGCGCCTTAACCACATTGCTGTCTGGGTTTACGGGCCATGCAGACATGTTCTTCGGCTAATCTCCTCCAGGACTCCCACCACGCTCCCCTCTGAGATCTGGCAGTCTGTTCCGTGTATCCATGCCTCTGGTTTTATTTTGTTTGTCAGTGTCTTTTGTTCCTTAGATTCCACATATGAGTGAAATCATGTGGTGTTGGTCTTTCTCTGGCTTATTTCGCTCAGCGTATAGTGTGCCCCAGGTCCGTTTGTTGCAGAAGGGAAGAGTTCCTTCTTTTTTGCAGCCTCATAGTACTCTGTTGTGTAAATACACCGCATATTTTTATCCCCTCATCTAAAATCTGTAGACCCATTTACTTTTTACCGACCGCCACAACTATGAATTTTTACCTAATTTACATTTTCCAGATATATTTGTCTTTATTTGTGTCTTGGTGGGGATGAGAATCTACTACTATATTACATTTATTTTAGTTCCTTCATAGATTTTTTTAATGGTTCTTCTTTGAAGCACAACCTATTTTGTGTGTGTGGTTTATATATTCTATTCTGGTTATGCATCTGTCATTCACGGAGCTTTTTATCGTATATAATTATTCTTAGTACTTTTCACCTTAATTTTTTCTGAAATTAATATTGCAACCTGTGATTTTTGTCTTCATTTAATTGAAGAAAAAGATTTATTGGTATCACAACCATCTAAGTGGGTATTTCTATTAACTAATAGTATTCACAGGCCATTTTATCTGTTTAGTCAACTTATTTAGGTATAGTTTTAAAAAGTCAAATCTCAGTTTGAAATTTATCTTCAAGTCATGTTTGGAGTAAAGGTAATCATTTTGCAAAGACATCGAAGTTCTGAACAGATCTTTGTATTGATTTATCAAAGGAAACAAATTTTCACTGCGAACTCTTTTCCCTCTGAGGGTCTGTGGTTGTTCTAGATCTTTGGATGGAACTCTCTTTCTCTGGATAGATCTGGTCACTGATCAGTTCTCTTTACATGTTAGTTGGATTGTTCATAGTATCTTTTTTCATTTTGTTTAACTGTTTCATAAAAATACACTTTTGGATTTGGTTCCAATTTACTTGGAAATAAACTTTATTGGAAGTAACTAAGACACCAGCTCTTTACTCTGACATTGAAAGTAAAAGGAGAGAATTAGTTATCTTCCTCTCCCTCTCCAAACTACAGTTCAAAGTCACAGAATGGTTTAGTTGGTGAGGGAAGAATTCCAGGTAATAAATGTGGTTGGACTGATAGAAATTTGAAAATCATCTCTTGCAGCCCCTCATTAGATTGATTTCGGGGGGTGTTTATCAGTAGTTGAGAGCAGATGAAAGGTGTTTGAACCCTGTGGTCAGTCTTAGCACCATGAAAAGTAGGATAAGGCAGACATGTGTCTCCTGACGTCACATACATAGTATGGGACGATATCCAGTGGAGTATTCTTGTCAAAAAAGGTAAAACCTGACCTTCTCAAGTTTCTCTTACATGCAGCAAATACAGGGATAAAGGGTAAGTTAAATGACAACACAAGGAAGTTAACAGTCAAACCAGAATATGGGATATTATATAAAACAACTGACCCGGTTTCTATATAAGTCAGTGATGGGAGAGTAAAAAGGGAGGAAAACACCTGTAGGTGAAAAGAAACCAAAGAGACAAGTGTGTGTGTCCCTCATTTGGATCGTGATATATCAAACCAACTCTAATAGAGGTTCTGATACAAACACGGAAATTTGGTAATGAACTGGATATTAGATGGTATGGAGGAATTTTTGTTCATCTTGATAGGTGTGATAATGGCATCGAGTTATGTAAGAAAATGTCCATTTTTACAGAGAGTTGGAACCTGTACGTCCTTTCTCAGTCCACGCTAACCTCTTTTGTCATATCGGAGAGCTCTCCTGTGGTTTTCAGCCCACAGCGCTACTCTGTCATTTTTATGACCTTCCACAAGTAACCTTTCCCCCAAGCCCTGTGTTTTACTGTTGTAACAGGAAGGAAGTATAATTAGTTGTTGATCTCAAAGATTCTTTATAGATGTAACATTAAATTATGCATTGCTTGTTTATTTATCTTTATTTATTTATTTTTTGCCTCCATTATTCCTCTGCAGATTTTTTCTTACATTTGGTTTAGCAATCATGAAACTTGTGGGGTCTGCCACTTTACGGCTCCCTTGCTTCTTCTAAGGTAAGGACAGGCCAAGGAGTTGGAAGCAAGAGAGCGGGTGCGTAACGGCCCGTCCAATGCCTTTCCTGAAGACAGCTGTCTGCCTCCCTCTGGGCTCACTTAGATCTTCGTCCTCAGATCATTACCTTGTTATCATTACAGTTGTCTGTAGATACGTACCTCTCCGTACACAATAACTGTTGGTTTGGGAAGTGGCAATATGGTGTTGGTGGTAAGAGCTTTCGTATTTGCCATGTGGCTCTGGCTAAGTTACAACCTTTTCATCTTTGTAAAATGGGAATAATAATACCACCGAGGATTTTTGTAAGCATTAAATGAAATCTAGGGCAAGTTCTTACCTTGGATTTGGCTTATTTAAACATGTAATAATAAATAGTAGCTGCTGTTTTTGTTACTGTTGTTGTTGAACTAATATTCCAGTTTTATTTTTATTGATTTATTTTACTTCTTTATTGAATATATAGGAGTGACATTGGTTAATAAAATTATAAAGACTTCAGGTGTACAATTCTCAACTACCTCATCCGCTTAGCGTATTGTGTGTTCATCCTTCCGAGTCAAGACTACTCCCATCACCATTTATCCCTCCTGTACCCTCTTCTTCCTTCCCCCACCCCTCTTCCCCTCTAGTAAATCACCATACTATTGTCTGTGTTTACGAGTTTTTTCTTTTTTGCCTAATCCCTTCATCTATGACTCTGTTCCTATTTTGTTTGTTAGTATATTTTGTTCATTAGACACCACATATGATTGAAATCATACAGTACTTGAATTTCTCTGATTCTGGGCAAACAGGCAATATTGGTGATAACTTTGATTGATGGTGGTGCATTGAAACCAGGGTTTCTCAGTCTTGGCACTGTTGACATTTTGGGCCAGATGATTGCTTGTTGTGGGGCTGTCCTGTGCATTGTAGGATGTTAAGCAACATCTCTGGCCTTTATCTACTAAATACCAGTACTGCCACCCATCCCCAGTTGTGACAACCAAAAATGTGTCCAGACATTGTCAATGTCCCCTGCCTGAGAGCCACAGCTGGGAAGCAGGGATGCCCCTTCAAGGAGGCAGTTCTCTCTTGGACACCCTGAGAATAAAACATTAGTTTTGTAAGTCTTGTAGCTTTCTATCTGTATTTGCAGGAAGGGCAAATGAATTTCATTGTCTCTTTTTAAAACCTAACCCATCAGATTAATCTGTTATATTGGAAAATGATTAAATCGCCTTATGAAACAGTCTTCTAAGGAGTAATTGATTTCTCAAGCACATTTGTAGGAGTCTCCGGCTTTGGCCTGTTCTGTCACCTTGCAGCAGTAGACACCTATGCTCTCTATTTACAGATCCAGTCTGGTCTTACTTCTTGAACTTGGACAAGAAACTTCAGCCCATCTTTTAGTTCCACTAACCAAAATGTCCTTGAGCTAGGCCATATGCTCAGCATCCATTATGTCAGGGCCACAAAGTCTGCACAGCCCTATAGAGACAATGTTCTTCATCTTCCCAGCTCATTGCGTTACTGGCCAGCCTGTCGTTTGTTTCTCTCACCTGCACTCACCTTCTCCACTGGGACTGATTTTGCGTGGAGCTCCATCCAGTTTGCCCAGGGCCCTACTGCTCACTAACCAGTCCCCCTTTAAAGGAGTTGGTTTGTTCTTTTAATTACTGGAAGAAAAAAAATTCCCTTTTCATGTTTATTTGCTTTACTCATACTAAAGGAATTCTTCCTTATGATTTTGACAGCTGGCTTTCTGTAGTCTGTAGCTACATTTTGTTATTCAGAAAATAAGACTTGGTATTTTTTGTTTACAAGACACTATACTAGATGCTAGAAGATCAAGAAGATGAATAGGACGGCAGTTTTTCAAGGATGTTTTTATCTATTCATCAGGAAAATAAAACTGTGTGCACCCAGATCATTACAGAAGGAGACTAGGAGGATAAGAGGTATAGATAACTCAAGCCAAAGGGCAGACGTTACTTTGGGTTACTTTGGCGAAGTGTAAGGGAGAGCCTTGCTTTCGAACAAAGAATGGAGGTAATTTGGTCCAGTGGAAAGAGCCAAATCTTTTCAGTCAGTCCTGGATAAATCTGTTTGACCAGATATTAGTTGTGTGATCTTAGGCAGGTTACTTAAACTCTCTGAACCTAAGTTGTTTTGTGTGTATGGGTGTGTACTTTTATTTGTAAAAGGGGGATAAATAATACATTCTTAAAGCGTTAGGACTAAATGGGATATTTAAAGTGACCAGCATGTTAACTGTTGCAGGTAAAGAAAATGTAAGTTCCTGCCACAGTTAGAGATGAGACAAGGCTGGGGGTCACCCAGAGCATCCACTTAGGCAGGTCTTGCGTAGGCAGCATGACTTGGCTCAGGTTAGCTCAGTCTGGGCCCTTAGCTTTTTAGCTTTTGAAATTCAACGTTTGTCAGAGCGCCTAGAATAGATCAAATTCAAGAGACTGACTTACTAAATTTTAATAGACTTGTGTGTGAACCAGAATGTTTATTTGCAAAGAGAGCTACTCATTTTTATTATTTAAAATGTTCGTTTTTCCCAACCAGGGCACACCTTGATATGAGTAGGGAATCCTGGGTGGTGGTTTGAAGAGGCTTTAGATCAGAGCAAATGGAAATGGT